CAAGGATCTCCTGTAAGAGTGTGTTAATCCACTCTGGTCACACATATTGCAGACAAGAGGACTATCACATAAGATGGCAGAGTCCAAAGGTTCAGAATCTTGAAATGGGAAATGGCCAAAAAGCATCCAGCTCACAAAATATAATCTTAGGCAGGCATGATAATTCACTGCACCTTGTACCTTTTATGACAACTTAAAATCATAAAATCATTTAAGGTGGGAAAGGTACTTGAGATTATGGAGTCCAAAGTCTTTGAATACTTCCAGGACTGCTGACTCAACCAGTCTCCTGGGCAGCCTGTTCCAGTGCCTGACAACCCTTTTGGTGAAGAGGTTTTCCTAGCATGCAATCTACTACTTGATTAGTAGCTTTCTGAGAATGTTTTGCTAGAACCCCAATACAGGTTATATAAAAAGCTGGACCAGTCACAATGCATTTATGAAGAGAGGAACACAACCTTAACAGGTAATGAAAAACAAGCAGCAATAAACTTCATTACCTAACTATACCAAGAGTGAAAAAAAAGGTTTTAATTGTAAACTATTCTAGGGAAACATAAAGGAGCACATTACATGTCAAAAATTATATATATAAATAAATGTAACAAACTACATGACCCATGAGCAACTACCAATAAAAATAAAATCAGGTTCAGCCTGCTACTTACAATCTAGGAAAATCCCTTTGTCTCAAGGACAAGGTCAAAAGAGGTGGTTGATAGCTTTGAAAGATTAGAGCCTTTTATTAGGATATAAAAATCAGTAAGACAAACGTCAGTAGGTTAGATTAATAACCAAGGTTAAACAGTTTGGAATGCCTGTGGGATGTATGAAGAAATACAGTTAGCTAACAGGAATAAGAGGTCCTTATGAGACTCAAAGGGCCAGGATCACAGGATTCTTAACTCATATAAATAATAAGTCAAATGAATCACACCACTGATTTAAGTTTTCCTCATGAAAATGACTTTGCTACTTAAGAGTACTCTAAGAGGGAATCCCTGTCCCCCAAATAACTTCCTCTTCTCTGTTCACTGCAGTGTCTCCCTAGTACACAAGCCAACACAGATGCACTATTACACCATCGCTTTAGCAGAAGTTTCTCAAAGGAGCTACGCCCTGATCTGAGCGCACAGACAGACCTTGGGATTGAAGGATTGACCTGATTAAAGCAGACTAGACTTCTCCTTGTGGAAAGATAAGAACACAACCCCACAAATTCATCTCAAGACAGCTGAACCATTCCAGCTTAAATAAAAGAATAAGGCTATCCGCTCCGATAAAAGTTTGCATTGTCACAAAAAGCCACTGCACCTTACCTGGGAGGCTGTGTCAGCACTTGTGTTACCAATTCTTCATCATTATGGTGGCTCCTCTTCAAATGCCACCCATTAAGAGAGCCTATGTCCAAAACCCTTCAACTAAATTAGTCTAAATTTGTACAAAACTCTTTGTAGCCACGAATTACAATATGTAAATTATCGATTCACATGAACAAACCAGAAATAGTCAAAAAAAAAAGGCAAAAAAAAATAGAAGTGATGGAAATCAAACCACTACACTAAAACACAATCTGAACAAGATTTATTCCTCACAGAAGTTATACCTCCTTACATTACAGGTCTGGGCTCTTCAAGAAATGAAAGTGAAACAGATAAGGAACTTCAGAACTGAAACTTCAGTATTCTATGCCAATAATAGGAGGCTTAAAGAGGAAAACAAGGGGGTTTTGAGTGTGCATGCATACATGCAGAGGCAAATATGAAGGTCTACTTTTTCTTCTGAAGTATGGAAGATGAGATTTGTTAGGTTTTGGTGGGGGTTTTTTTGTTTGTTTAAGTTCATGTGCATATGTGGTATATGAAACACAGAGATGCACAAATATTAACTTTGCCAAAGTAGAGAGGAATAAAGAATGACCTTATTCCATTCCAGTTGAGAATTTTTTGAAATTGAGGATGCAGTAATTGCAAAACTGCCTGATTCCTGAAAAAGTTTCCACTCATCAGATTCCCAGCTGATTAGCAGTGTGCAGCATATTCATTTCCTTCAGCAGATGCTTCTGATGTTCGTTACCAAGAATTGCTGCTGGAGTACTGCTCTGGTTCCAAAAGAGGCTAAGTAGAAGAGTTCAGCAGACACTTTGGGAATAATATAACTGAAAATACTATCAGCACCTAACACTCTGATATTCATCAGTGTATTTCTTTCCACCCTCTATTTAAGAGGTTACGCAAACACTAAGTCAGACAATCTGTTGGCAAACAACCATAATGTTTGCCACTGGATCTCCCTTATGACTGCTCTTCCTCTCAAAAAAACTGAACTAATTCTCCCATCCTCTCATGAAACACTAAGACAGTCTCCTTTAGATCTCAATCTGCTCAAAACATGAACACTGTATTCGCATAAGCCTTCAAAACACCTACCACATAGCTAATAATCAAGTTACAATATCGGCGAAGGACAACAACGACGACTCCTGAAGTTCTAATAAAATTTCAAAGCCAAGATGAGGAAGAAAACTGCATACTAAGCTATTGTATTCAACAGAAGCAAAACCAGAGTAAACTTGTTGGATGATGGCAGCATACAACACCAAAAATGTAACCCTGCAAATGAATTTTAAAAAAATTAATTTCAAAGTTGAAGGGAAACAAGCACTAATAAAATCCCACATACTATTTCAAGCATAGATGTTAACAGTATAAAGCTTTCTTTTTTATACAAGGGAAAAGAACGGAATCTGGTTGGAGGGAGATGACTTAAAACTGGGGAGCAATTGTCTTTATTCAAAGTCATTTTAAGAATTCAGAACACTTCATTATTTTGCCAGATTCTATTTCATGAAGCAGATTAAGGATTTTACATGATTTCCACTCAGTGTTGCTGGCTGCTTCCCAAGTTTTAGGCAGTTTAGTTTGGGGAGCTTAAACAACCTGATCTTCTTATATTCAGCATTCAGTCACTTTGTCTTTCAGCATCTTTTCAGTCCAGGCTGTATAAGCTGCCTTCCTCCAGGACAGCAAGATGGATTTATCACCCAGAAAAGAAGAAGCATATGTTCTTATTTAATCCTTATTCTGTTCGTACAAAATAAATCCATATTTTACAGAAGAGCAACAGAAAACAGTGTGCACACATTAAATCATGAAGCATAGACATTCTTTTCACTAAACATACTGTTCCATGGCTATTTTAAGAGTAAACTACTCCCTACATCATCTCATACAGGTAAAGATAAGGAAGCAGTAGTGAAATTTACCTTGTATGCAACAAAACCACCAGAAAAAAAAAGGTGAAGGTTTTTCTTCACCTACTAATATGCTTGGTACAACCAGCACTAATTATGTGAACTGTGGGTGCTGCAGTAAGGAGAGTTTCTCATGAAGTACAGTCAGAGTCATTACAGAGAGATGAAGAAAGAAAAAGGTAAATCATCCATTCAGACTAAATTGAACTTCGTGTCCCCAGGCAAAATGGTTTCAATAATAAAAAACAAGAACGAACTGGTTCCTCCTTTTTTGAAAGCTTTTTATGAAACAGCAGAAGTATTTTGAAAGAACCGAGATCACCTCATTGATTTAGGAGCAAAGATATACCCACAGCCTGCAAACGACTTCAAACGCTGTCCTCCTGAGGACAAAGATTAGCAGACTGAGTACCAGTGATTCCCTCCACCCTACTTGCATTTTCTACACACAAAGCTGTTTGTTGAGATAAAGCATTTGCACAGCACTAAGTCAAAATTCATTCCTGTATTTAGGATTATGAGTCATGCTGGAAAAGCTATCATACTATTTCATGGGGACAAGGTGACAGAGCTTTTTAGACAAATAAGACTGTATAATAACAAGAATCTTAAGAGTAAGTCTTCATTTAAAGAGTATTCTATCATTGCTGCAATTATCAAGAGAAATTGATGTAACAAGACCTAATGCAAGAATGGAGAATTCATTTTCTCAGGTTTGCTGACCACAATACCTGAAAGAAAAAAATATTCTCAGAAGATGAGATGATTTTGTACCACATCTGGAAAAGATGGAACTTATGGTCCTTATGTTAACAGGGAGAAAAGCCTCTACCAAGATTTAGTTCCTCAAAACTAAGTGATATTTATTCTTCCCTAAATATTAAAAAGTAAGTCTACCTTAAACAGCTGCTAAAACTCAAGGGAGACAATAAAACAGACCCCACAAATACTTGTTTAATATAGGTTCGCACACCTAGACAATCACATCAGGTCACTCCCTGCTTCTCAGAGACAAGACAAATCCCTGCGATCAAACCACAACATGATGTTGATGTGTAAGAAATAACGAACCTGGCAAATGAAAAGCACTGTTATTTCCAGTCTAAAGCTCAATGCATCTCTGGTAAAAAAGAAAAAAAAAAAAGTAGCAGACATGGCAGCCCAAAGCAAATTTGGCAAAGAGATGATAGCTTTCAGGAACCTTTTTCTCAAATTCACTTCCTAGAGGTTCACAAAGCATTGGAGAGGGAACAAAACCAGCAACCGGGTGGAACCGAGAGCTGGTAAATGGCATTGTCAGGGGGAGAGATTTCAACAGACTCTCGCCCGGGATTCATCCTCCCACCCACCGCACCGCCACCCGCGCTCGCCAAAACCTCCCACGGCCGCTCCGTCCCCGCGGGGCGCGCCCGGGGCGGGCACCGCGGGGCTCCCGGGGCCGCCCCCTCCTCCGCAGACCCCCCTCCCCTGCCCCGCCGGGCCGGGGGGCGCCGCCGCCGCTCCCCGAAGGTCGTTCCGCAAGGTGACGGGGGCGGCCGGGCCGCGACGAGCACGGGCCCCGCCGCGCCGGGGCGGCTGCGGGGCGATGCCCTCCATCCCTCCCGCTCCGCACCGGGGGCGATGCGACCGCGGCACTGGGCGGGCGGGCGGCCCCCTCGCCGGCGCGGCGACCCCCGCAGCGGGGCTGGGTGCGGCGGCGGCAGCTGCACCCCCCTGGTCCCCGCAGCCCGGGGGGGTCTCGGCTCACCTGGTGGCGGTGCCCGCAGGTCCCCGCGCCGAGCGCAGCGCAGCGCCCATGGCCGAGCGCGGGCGGAGGCGCGGCCGCGCCCGCCGGGGGACGGGCCAGGCGGGGGCGGGCGGGCGCCGGGGAGCGTCTGCAAAGTGCCGGCCGCGCTCGGGGAGCGGGAGGAGAGAGGGAGGGGCGGGCGGGCGAGCGGAAACGCCTGTGACAGGCACAGGCAGAGCGAGGGAGCGTCTGCAAAGTGCGCGCCCGGCGCGGGGGCGAGGGGAAAACCTCCCGGGAATGGGCACCGGGAATGGGGATGAGCAGGGGCGCCGTCACCCGTGCGCAGCCGCCGCCCGCCGCGGTGAGTCCGCGGAGGCGGCTCCCGGCCTCCTCTGCCTCCTCCTGGCTCGTTCTCCTCCGCAAATTCATGAGGTCAGGCGCGGCTCCCGACTCTGGCAGCGATGCGGTTTTGTCCGCGGTAAGCGGACGCATTGCATCAGCCAGCGTTTTACTGAGCGTTAGATACAGGTATTTTTATTTATTCATCCACTTAGGTCGTCTTAAGAACTCTCTACAAGCTCCTAGAAGTTCACTTCTGAGAGCCATTAGCGCAAAAAAAAGCTACTGTTTTTTGCAATAAAATGACTATTTTGTACTGGCGAGACGGTCTCTATTTAGCACAGCTTCAGAGCGGTCTATTTTCCCAAGCCTGCATAATGGCTAATAGAAGCTGGGTGACATCTCGTGGCCAATCCTGCTCTCTGGTATGGATAGAGGCTTCTTTCACTAGGAGAAGATCAAGATAAAAGTGGAAAAAAAAAATGTTTCTACTTACCTCCACAGCCTAATATAAGTTAAAGGGAGATACGTATAGGTTATAATCAGATGCAGAACTCTAATCAATGTCTGTTACATATTCTTCACATGCCGTGAATCATTAGAAAATGTTTACCAAAAAAAAAATAAAAATCATGTAAGTGAGTATGGTTTTGGTGACAACTCACAAAAATCCCAGCTGGTGTTCAGTGCTATTCATCTGGGGTTTCTCCACACAGGACATAAAATGGTGATGTACACAATGCATGCTGAAGGACACTTGTCTGCACCCACAAGCATCTGCAATAATGCTGTGCAATCTGGAGTTTTAGTTTTCACCCAGCATTATGCTCTGTTCCTGGTTGGAAGCACTTGCTGGCATTTAATGAGAGGTTACGGATTTGAAAATTTGACAAGGAGTTGAATGATCAAAGCTTTGGATATCTTTCTGTGTGAGATGGGTAACTTTTAAAATTATCTCCTGTGGCTTGTGGAACAGGCTTTTGTCACAAGGAAACAAAGCAGGTAATATAACAGCAACTACAGCACTTTCCATTTATTATGCTTTTAGTTTACATAGCTCGTATGCAGTCACTTTTGAGTTTTATATGTTCTGATATAGAAATATTATATATCAGAAAACATCAACACTGGTCACTTAGCAGAGCTCTTACCAAAGGAAACAGCAGCCCTCATTAGCCAACAGTTTTCAAACTGGATCATAGCAACTAGATCCTCCTTTCAGGAATAGGAAGTTACACTGGATATTCCACAGTATTTATATCTGACACAGCTAAAAGAAAAAAAAGAAAAGGAATTTATGAGCAAACTGTGTACATCGATTAAGGAAGTGAAAGCTGTGTAGGTGAGTGAGCTCCCTGCTCAAGAAGTGTTTCTTGAGAAAGACTGGATTCTTATAACATAAGGAACAAGAGACTGAAAGAAGAGAGAACATAAACCCCCGCAGCACTGAAGTTTTAGGAGAATCTGAGAGCAGTAGAGCACTTACATGTTTGTTCCTCGTTTTAGCGTGTGACAAGTACACCACCAATTATTCAGATTTTGCTGTCTCAGGCCTGTCCCACATTTAAAGCTTCACCCACCTTCTTGCTCATTCCCTGCCCGTGGGAAGAGAGTGTGGGTGGAGGCCCCAGGTGAGGCTGATTAGGACCATTAAGGCCTGTTATTGCAATCAGAGCCCTGTTCCTGGCATCTCACCTTGCCTGTTTGCATCTTTCCAGCTCCAGACTCCATGCATGTACTGATCCCATCATCCTTGGGTGCAGAGAGGAATGATTACAGAAGCAATTAAAGAAGATGGCTGATACCTCTGTTTGATGTGTGAGAACACCCAAACATAGCATAAGGCTAGGACTGAGCCCCTTAGCTATATCTGTTAATAGAGAACTTTTGGGTTATTGTGAGGTGTATGTTATTAATGAGGAAAACAATTATATTCTGGTAGAGACATTCAATATATCAGCTGCTGATACTGTTTTCCTGTTTCATTTTATGTCCAAAGGTTGTGGACAAAGCCCTGCCCTGACTGGATAACAAAAACTCCCTTGATTTTGTGCCTGTCACAGCTTTGGAGTGGTAGAGAACTCAAACAGATGAGGTGAAGAAGTCACAGCTATAGTAACTTCAGCTTGCTTACTGTGCACTCAACATAATGGACAGAAGTGATCCTTAGAAGACATTGAACACATTTCGGACTTTCCATGTTTAGAGACCAATTCTTTGGCACATCTCTATACTGAATTCTGGAGAATTCTGATTATGGACCAGCAGTGGATGATAACCTAAATGTAAGTGCACAGAAGTCACCAGTGCTAACTCCAGATTTGCTTAATGTCACCTTTAAAGTAGCATACTTGTTGAATTTTCCATCTCTTTTTGTTCAAAGAATGAACCACTGTAACATAGAGAAACGTGTCTAGAGCATAAAAGAATTCTGTAATTATTGACAGGCAATACCTACACAAGCCTTTCCCTAGTGAAGTATGTGAAAGCTGTGTTCCCTTTTGACTTGTAACACTGTATAACAAAATTACAGCACACATATAAAATATAGTTTGCCTTTCCTGGTAGAAAAATCTGTTATTACAAAATATACATTATTAGAGAATATAGATACAGAAAATACTTTTAATATAAAAATGTCTTTCTTGTGAGGTGGACTACATCTAACATACCTGCCTTTGTTCTGGTTCATATCCCCATCTTGTCTCAGGTAGACAGACACAGTGTTACATCATGTTATACTTGTATTGCTACAGCACTAATCACTACAGCACCTGGGATAGGAACTAGAGACCATTTGCATTATAATCTTCATCTCTTTTAGAGCCCCCTTGCCTGGTTTCTGGAAGGTCTCCCTCCCTCTATTCAGAGTTTCTTTCCTTCTTTTATAACTCCTCCATATGCTCCCCTGAATAAAGGATTCTTAGCTTTGCAGATACTAAGTGGACTCTTTGGTGGCGGGCTGAATATTTTATTATTAATGTTGAACACGACTTCAATAAAACAAAAAAAGAGAAGAGGAAAAAGAAGAAGGTAAAACTGAAATTTGAACCAGAGATAAGAAAGACCTTCCTGAAGAGTATCTTTGCCTGTTCATAGCCAAACACAATAAGCATGTCTTGAGGCTTCCAAGATATGCTTTTAAAGCTTTCTGTTTGATGTCTCCCTCAGCTTTATTGATACAATTGAATTTACTGCAAAATGATAACTGACTCAACGGTCAGCACAGTCTCCTCTGTGCTGGAGATCAGAAAACTCATGTGTTCTTGTTCAAGAACGTGCCTTGCTTTTTTGTTTGATTGCTCTGATTTCTAAGGACCTCATCTATATTTTTTGAAATACAGTACAATATACTTCTGAAGAGCTGCCATATTCAACCCTAGTAATATTCTGATCACAAAGTGATATTTTGAAAAGTCACCCTCTCTCTGTTGCTTCTTAACCACATTTCAAAGTTGCTGTAGAACAACCTTGGTTTAACTCTGATTAAATATCAAAATATTAGGAAATAGAAAATATTCCTGTCCTTTCCCCATATTCAGGCACACACGCCCCTTCCCCCTCACCCACCCCCCGTTTTAACATGAGTAAGACTTTGCAGTTAGGCTTTAACTGCATCCTTTTTGCCAAGGTTTTATGGATACTGAAAAGTCAGATTTTTAAAAGGTATCATTAACACTGCCCAGTACAGAAAAAACTCCCAAAAGCCCCCAACAACAACAAAAAAAAATGCAAACAAAAAACCCCTACCCAAAACAAAACCATACAAAAAACCCAATAAAAGTAAAGCAAACTAATAAATTATTATTTGACTCTTTCCTTTGAAAATTTTATTCTGTCCCCTGTCCGTAAATGTAACAACTGGGATATAAAATTTTCCATCACCAGAAAATTTTGATCGATATTGCAGCAGATCTACCCATTACCACAGATGTTGTAAATATAAATTGTACTATTCCATTACCTTTGCACTGAGTTATCAAACAGGACATAAACTCTTGGCTTTAGGTACCAAACCAGACGTTTCTAATAAGTATTTAATGTGTGCGGTAAGTGTACTAAGGAACTCCCCATTTGCAGGAAATTATTTTAGATTTCAGACATCACAGTAACATTTCAGTGCAAAGTGGCATTTAATTCTAAAATTTCACAGGCACACTATAAATCTGGTAGAGCTGATTATCCACTGTCTTAATCACTTTGTAGTAATTAATAAGAATGGTGATATTTTACATCCACCTGTCATACAGGTTTGAATGACAGCTCAGGGTACAAGGGATACTCTGTGTTCTCGTCCAAATGCAAACTGAAATTCCATCATGATTTACTTTACAGATTTCATTGGACTTGGGGGAATTAAAACCAAGTCATTGGCCACTCATGGAGATTTGCCAGAGAGACTGAGCAGCAGATAAATTATTAAGGTATAGAAAGGAGAAAGACTAAGAAAGAATAAAAGCAGTGAGGACATAGTAAGAAATATGGATGGGTTATTTGTGTTGGTGTTCACTATGGAGGTAGTAATTTTCTAAGTTTCCCCTGCAGTAATATATTTATGAAGCTGTTGTCTCAAACTAAAGAATCAATAGAAGACTTATTAGATTGAATCAGTAAAATTAACAGTACCAGGACTTGATGGTATTTGTGTTTTGAAGCAACTTAGGTATGAAAATTCTGAGTGGTTGTCTCTGCTACATTGTCTTATCAACCTCTTTTTGTAATTATCAGAAGCACCAATTTCAGAAAGACCTGTAGTGTTCAC